TTTTGAATGGACATAAACTATTTCTCAATAAATATCCAATGTTGTCCATATTTTATTCATTGCTCTGAATTAAAGAATTATCACATAAATATATTGTAATCGATAATGAAAAATATTCAAATTTCCATTTTTAATGGATCAGTTCATTTAGTTATAAGAAATTGAATTTTTACGTGGAATCTACATACATAATATATGTATTTAGTTAGTATTTTTCAAGTTTGTTTAACTAATAAAAATAGTAATCAAACGGTTTAACTGTAAGCAATCGCGTATCGTATATCGTAAGCTGAATCAACTTCATGGAAGGCGTGTACCGAATGTGGGGTCTGTTGTATAAATAAATCAGTGGCTTTGGGGTTTTTGGGTCTCGTATCAACGAATTGATGGCAACAATTGACCAAAAGGTTGAATGAATTTGTTGAAAATAGAATTGACAGTGAAGCAATGGCTGTGATTAGCTGATTAAAATGTATTATCTTGCCTAATCGTCTATTGCTGCTAAATAAGAATGCATATCCCTCAACTGAAAACAGTACAAATTCATTTTAATACATATTAATAATAATATACATACGTTTATAAAATATTATTACAGATATACAATATATACACTATATATATATCTCTCTTTTGCTATAGATAGTTTTATCTATGCAGCAAAAAAATATATAGATATAAGATATATTTCTAGAGGAATCCATGAATCGATGTCAAAATTAAGCAGTAATTGGAGGACATTTATTCGATATAGAGTTATACTAATACTGACATTAGCCAGTTATACGATAAGTATAGGATCTATCTCTTATAATCGCAGATTTGATCATATATATATACTCAGCTGCTGAGTTTCTGCAATTTCTGCTTTCTGACCTAAATTCATGCATTCCTTTGAGCACTTGTCACTTACATATATACAGGGTATCTACCAGTTAAGCAAAGTTGACTAGAGTACTCTTTTTTTTTTTTTGATTACTTATGGCCCAATAGTATTGTAGTTTCTCTTACATGATATTTATATTTTTTTGTAAGCGGCGCAACTAACAATAAAATGATATTTATACTAAATCACATGGTGAAAACGAGCATATTAGCTTTCAATTATTTGTAACTTTTCTTTGTCAAAGCAAGGAAATAATGTCAACAAACATAAATAAGATCGATAGCCATAGTAATACAATATATGTATAGACTTACTCTGATTCACTGCAATTGAATGAATCGAATTTGGCTCTTTCTTTTCCCTCGAGCTGTGGCGCCTGGGCATACCCGTCAGCATATCAAGTACTTATTTATGATAGACCTACACACATGCAGCCACAAAATGCATCAAAATACATTTTT